CTCTCTCTCTCTCTCTCTCTCTCTCTCTCTCTCTCTCTCTCTCTCTCTCTCTCTCTCTCTCTCCCTCTCTCTCTCTCTCTCTCTCTCTCTCTCTTGCGCGCACGTTTTTGTTCTGCAAGCTGTTCCCGTTTCTGATTGTGAAGACATGGGGAGCTCGCATAGCACCTCTCTCCCTTTTCTTCATTTATATGCAGCCATCTCTCTGCATGTGAGAGACACAATCCCTGCTAGCATTCTCTCCATTTCTAAGGTGTATGCTTCTCTCTCGCCGCATTTCCAGTGCTTCTGCACTCTCTCCCCTGTGTACCCCAATGTGATGATGATGGCAGGAATGCGCAGAGAGCAGTGTTCGACTGTTAATGGTATATCATACCAGTCGGGTCATTGCGCACCGTTGCAGCTCGTCCGATTGTGTTTGTTATGGGTTTGTTATGGCTTCCATCCGTGGCAAGAGGGCTGGCGGTTTCCCCCCATGACTAGAACGCAAGGCATTTATTAATTACCCAGATCTGTATTCAGAAAAAGCTCAAGCTTCAAAGTTACAACAAGCTTGCATTTCATGTCAAATTGCAGCCAGGTACATTATGTAATGACCTCCCCTCGCATTTCAATGATTTTTTCGGAGTTCTTTTCTGTATTTCTTGCGCTTTTCAATACTCCACGGCATATTCCGGTCTGCACTTGAGAGAGTCTGAGACATTGATTGTGCCCTGTGTATGATGGACAGGATTCTGTCCAGATTCGGTCTCAATGGGGGGTGATCCTTCTTGCGGAGATTGGTGGTTCATGCCCATCTCCAAGGTCGTTGTCTGCTATGGGGGATTTGGGGGTGGGTGCAGTCGTGGTCACTGGTGAGGGTGGGGGGAAGGAGGGAAAGGGGTTGGGAGAGGGGGGAGGAAGTGGGAAGAAGGGGGGCATGAAATCCACTTATCGCCTGGCTTGGTTGCGTCCCACAGCAGCCGGGATCTTCAGTGGGGGATGTTGTACCTCTCAGTGCAATTGCCAATTCCGCGCGGGGTGTTCATGACCTGACCTGACCTGACCTGACCTGACCTGACCTGACCTGACCTGATCTGATCTGATCTGATCTGATCTGATCTGATCTGATCTGATCTGATCTGATATCCCGATGAGCAGCTTACAGTGGTCTATACAAGTTTGATGAAGGTCATTATGGCAGCGATTTCTGATCGTCGATGCATGAATGGATGGATGGATGGATGCAGGGGGATTGCTCTCGGACGAAACCCTGCTTCGGTTGGCAGAGAAAGGTGAGTTGTTTGTCCTTTGGAACATTCGTTAAAAATTGGAACGACACAGAGAAAGAAGATTAATTAGCATGGCCCCGGCGCAAGGAAGACGCACAGAAATCGAGAAAATGGTCCATTTTTTTTTACCTGGTTGATCCTGCTGTGCAATCACACTCCGATTATTCACACTTGTCTTGCATGCAAACAGCGATACAGCAACTGGCGACATGCGCCCTGACAGTACTGAAGATATCGTAACCAGATATGAGTTCTCTTCAACTGGCTATGGCGACTGGGCGCCCACACAACTCACTGTTTGCACTCTGGATCACCCTGGATGTCCCACACGCAACACTCAGTATCATACGCAACACACACACACGCTATGCTACAGCTATGGCAGCGCTAGCTGCCACTACCTATCGCTACACTACACTTCTCTGCCCACTTCGTCTTC